GGCAGAGGTCTGGTGGCGTGGGTGACCCCACACAGGTCCCCTGTGTGGGCAGACAAGGAAACAGTGGCACCCTGGGTGTCGTGGCTGTGTGCACCTGACGGAGGCCCTGGGGCCCCCAGGGCAGTGGGCCCAGGCCTGAGCCAGCCCCCCTGATGGCCCCTTGACCAGGGCTCCCAGCTTGGCCCTGGTTGGCCTGGCCTGTGCCAGTTCCCCTCACAGCTTGTCCTTTTAGCTTTAAATAGGCCAGTCAGCACCTTCGGCAAGTCCCTAACGCAGCCAGTCCCCAGTGCTCTGGAGACCATGAAGGTAGAAGACCCTCCTTAGTGTCTCAGGCTGTTTGAGATGCTAAAGCAAAGTGCCCTGACCTGGGTGTCCTGCTCCAGTCCTGGAAGCTGCATGTCCGCGGCCAGGGTGCTCTCAGGTTGGGTCTGGGGAGGCCTGTTTCCTCGTTCGTGCACGGCACCTTCTTGCCGTGTCCTCATGTGGTGGACACATGATGGGTCCCTTTTACGAGGCAGTGACCCAGTTCCTGGGGCTCCACTCCATGGCCTGTCTGCTCCCCAAGGCCCGTCCCTCGTGCCCTCCCCATGGGTTGGGATTTCCACAGGTGAACTTGGGGGTGGGCATTCGGCCCACAGTAGTGGGTGAGCGTGGGGGTGGCCTGGGCTGTGGCCTTGTGCTGCACAGCCTCAGGAGGGCGCCTTGAGTGCCAGTGCACACGTCTCCCGTGCCTTGGAACAGCCGTCTCGTCCCTGTGCTGGCCTCCTGCTGGCCCTGCCTCCCCTGTGCAGTGACGGTCCCGTGGTTCCAGCTCTGGGTCTTTGGGAAGGTGAGGTGGGCAGCTCGGGGCTGCGTGTGGACTAGGGCCAAGGGATGGCTGTAGAAGGAGAGCAGCCCCTGAGCCCTGCTGGGACCCACCTGGGGCCCAGATGCCAACCAGGAAGTCCAGAGGGCTGGGCCCATGTTGGGGGTGCTGAGTGCCCCCTGCATCCATCTCCTGTCCTTGGCTGCAGCTCCTTCTTCTATGCCTTCGTGAACCTCCTGGTCAGCGCCTTCGTGGTCTTCCTGGTCTTCATCGCCAGCACCATTGTGAGCGTGGGCTTCACCATGTGGTGTGACACTGTCACTGAGAAGGGCACTGTGCCCCACAGGTATGCTGCCCCCTGCTGTGTCCCTGGAAGACCCTTCCCCGGCCTTGCCTGTGCCCCAGGGATCTTACCTCTGAATCCTGTCCTGGTCTGCACCTTGGCTCTCCCTCCCCCATACCCCCACCTGTGCACTCCTGGTTGCCCCTTCTGGGAGCCCACCCCCTCCTTCCTGGCTAGGAGAGCCACCAGGGGTTGGAGGACCCTGGGAAGCTCAAGGTGGCCATGCAGTCCGAGACCCTGGGGTCTTGCCCTGAGCTGCCTGTGGGGGGCAGAGGCCCAAGGAAATGTTGGGATAGAGGCTTGGGTCCTGGTGGGGTTGGAGGTCTGGCAGGGTAGGGGGTGGAGAATAGAGTAGAAGGCTCTGGTGGGGCAAGGTGGCTCCCTGCCATCGCCCAGGGACCTCTGTGATCAGGGCGGCCACTTGGCTGTGACCTGGGGCAGCCTCTGACTATCAGGGTGCCCAAAGTGGAGCATGTGACTGCCCATATCCCTCCGGGATACTTCTGCCCAGCCCTAAGAAGGCCCAGACCTTGGGGGCAGGACCTCAGGTCACCTCTTCTGGAGGCTCCACATTCTTTCTTTAAGAAAATCAACTCTGGAACCTGATGTCTAACTGGGTGACGCAGACCTGGGCACATGGCCTGCCTGACCTCTGTGTGTCCAGTGGTTGTCCCAGGCCAGGCTGGGGTGGGTCTGCAGGTTCCTCTCCCCAGAGCCAGTCCTGCTGGCTGATGGGGGTGGGGACCTAGAGGCTCCCCCTCCGCCGGGTGGACGGCCCTCAGCACTTGGGGGTGGTGCTCCCTGCTCCCTGCCAGCCACTCGGCCACAGAAATCACCCTCATACCCACGCCTTGCGTTTTAGCTGTGAGGAGCTCCAGGACATCGACTTGGAGCTGAGTGTGGACAATTCTGCCTTCTATGATCAGTTCGCCATTGCCCAGGTAGGGTGGGGCCATCACTGCCCCCCAGGGAGGAGCAGGCCCAGGGCAGCCTGCAGAAGCAGAAGGTGCCCCTGGAGGGGAGGGCCAGGTTCCCGGTGGCTGGATGGGGTGTGGGGAGGTGGGACTGGAAAGGGGCCTCACGTCCTGGGTTTGAAGGGAGGGGTCTGTGTTCTGGACAGGCCTCAGAGCGTCCTGTGCAGGTGGGTGGTGCCAGGCCCAGGGTCATCCTGGAGCAGAACAGGAGGCCATTGTGGTGTCCCAGGTGTCCCTGTGCACGGGAGGCTCCTACTCTGCCTGTCTGCCCTGCCAGCCCTCACTGGGCTCCATACTGGGCATCCTGTAGGCTGGACACATTGGTGGTCAGTGAGGCCCCAGGCAGAGCCTGGAGGTGAGGATCTTTCTGGGGTGACCTGAAACGGTCACAGACAGTGACAGGTAAGTCCAACGGAAGATGCTCGGGGCCTAATCTGTGCCAGTTAGGTGGTGTGGGGACAGACCTGCTCAGGGGGGAATCGGGTCGACGTGGAGCCGGCCTGGAGCTGATTAAATCGTTCTCTTTCAACTGTTTGGAAACAGCAGGTAAAGGTCAGTTTATTCCAGTGGCTGGAGGGGGTCCTGCCGTGTGCCAGCTCCTTGGAGCTGAGCAGCCCCAGCTGCCAGGGTGACGTGGCCCTGGCTCCTCCCCAGGGACCCCCTCCTGGGGTAGAGATTGGAATCCACAGGCTCCTTCACATACTGGGCTCTGGAGGGGGCTGCAGAGAGGAGCCTGAGGTCCCCAGGCCTCTCGGCCCATGTCCTCGCTCACAGAGTGGGACACTGGGCAGGGTGGGTGCGGGCTGTGCCCTGACGCTGCCCTGCTCTCTGTGCAGTTTGGCCTCTGGGCGTCCTGGCTGGCCTGGCTGGCCATCACCATCCTGGCCTTCCTGAAGGTCTACCACAACTGCCGCCAGGAGGACCTGCTGGACAGCCTGGTCCATGAGAAGGAGCTGCTGCTGGCCAGGCCGGGCCCCCGTGCCTCCTTCCAGGGGGAGAAGAGCGCCGTCATCTAGGCTCCCCGCTGGCAGGGGCGTCGACCCCAGGATCCTTGCCCATCGTCCTGTCCTGGGGGAGCAGCTGGGGATCCCTGCCCGGGCCCCCACCCCTGCCAGTGCCGCCCTGCATGTGTCCCCCCGCCCTGCCTGCTGTGAGGTGAGCACCCCGATTCCCACCCAGAGCCTGGCAGCGGCTGGCTAGGCAGCAAAGGGCCAGGGGCTGCCAGGCTTCACGCAGCACTCGGCTCTCCTCCTGGCCAGGTCCCCGGGTCCCTTTGCCACTGGGGCGGCTGGTCCACGCTCCGCCTCTGGGTGACTGTGTGTGCCTGTGGGCGTGGGGACAGGGAGGTGCAAGTGCAGACCAGCTGCCCAGGAGGGTGCTGCTGTTCCCTCCTGCAGACTGCAGCCCAGGCCTCAGAGCCTGGCCAGCCCAGCCCGCAGGAGCAGGACGTGGGCAGGGAGCCCTGGCTCCACGCTGCGCTCGGTGGTGAGCGCTGGTGGTGGCTGCGCAGCCCTGCAGGAGAGCCCAGTCCTCCCTGGAGGGCCTGTTCCTCTGTGACCTTGTTCCAGGGGCTGGGACCCCACGTGGAAGTGCCCCCCGCCCTGACCTCCGTGAGCCAGTTGTCCTGAGCTAGTCCACAGGCTCCCTCTGCACTGCCATGCCCTTCTGGAAGGGAGAGCCCAGCGTGTCCAGCTGTCTGCTGTCCACCAGCGACTGCTGTGTTTCAGGCGGAAGGTAGCTCAGGCCAACCTGGAGGGGCTTGGTGAGCATGGTCAGCTGGGCCTGGGAAGCAAGGCCAGCAGGGACTTGTCAGGACACTCTGAAGGCAGGTGCCAGTCCAGGGGAAGTCCAGGCCAGGTGGGACAGGTTGCTGCCAGCCCAGGGTTCAGCTGGGAGTTTCCCGCAGGTACTCAGGGGACAGTATTGTGTCAGTATGAGGTTCCCAACGCTGCTCTCCTCCTGGGCCCCTAGTCTACTGGACACAAAGACCCTTCCCAACCCCAAGGGTCCTGGTTTGTCTCCCCAACACAAAGTGGAGTGGCTCCTGCCTCACTCTGCCCTGGGTACAGCCCCCAGGACCCTGGAAGGAGGAGAGAGGGACAGGGCAGGGGAAAGGGCAGCTGGCCAAGGGCAGGCGCTGTCAGCGCTGTGTGGACCTACGTCCGCCTGCACTGGAGCTCCCTGGGGGGCTGTGCATGGCTCCCCAGACACCTAGGCCCTGGGGGTTCCAGGAGGGGGCTGGGTGCTGGTCTGCCGTGGGCCCCGGGTCCCCTGGGGGCTGTGGTGTGGGTCCCCACAGTGGCTCCGCTGCAGACTGCTGTTGAGATGCCTGGACTCCTCCCTGCTGTTTTCATGGGGGCCACCTTATTTTAATTTTCCTTCTGGCTAAACTGAAAGTGAAGATCTTGAACCTCCACGTGTCTCTTTCTCCAAGTCAAAATAAAAGCAAACCCTGTCTCCACTGCGGATGAGGGCTTGTCACGTCTCCTGGCTGCCTCCCCCAGCCTCCCCCAGCCTCCCCCAGCCTCC